AATGACTGATCGACTATATAAAATTCTATATAAACAAAGTATTGTTTACATAGAAATTTTATATAGTCGGCCAATCAGTTTTTGGTGATATCTCGGTATCCACTGTGTCAATTTGAACGATCTAACTGCCATTAGATGCGTCTCAATGAGCTCTACAACTTTCAATTAATTTGCTTTGGTTGTTAACTTAATAAAAAAATACTTTTCATTTGACTCTGTTCAGATTCCAGCATATAGTTAATATCATAGGGATTTTGCCCCAAATTCTAATATAGAAATTGTGCCGATCTTATCCGGATCAGCAATTAATTTATTTTAATAATAAATAAATATTTATTATATCAAATTAGTAAAATATTAATAAATGCAGTTTATTGTATTAATATTTAACTAAATATTAATTTATTTGAATTATTTTATATTTATCAATATTAATTATTTTAGATATAATTTAATTTAATTCATAGAACCAGTGAAAAACTATGTGATTTTAGCCAATAAATTTTGCTTTTTCTAAATCTGGAGTTTTTCTAAAGATAATTGATTTTGCACTAAAAAAAACCTCACTTATATGTATAATAAATGTTGTAAAGGAGTAAAATACAAGTATAATGGTAGTTAAAACACTAAAATCAGCCTGGTGTGTCATGAGATTTCTAAATTACTCCTTTTAATAAAAAATTATTTCATCATTTAGTTTGTTGAAATTAATTTTCTTAATTTCAAAATTAAATTTCATAGTTGTTAAAATTTTTAGTGAAGTTATTTGAATTCTTTATGTCAAATACATTAGGTAGTATAGTTACTTTGTAGAATTCATATAAAAAAACTAGCAATATCGAAATGTTTGTTGAAATTGCTTTTTTAAAAAAATAAGGTAGACACTCATATATAGATAAGTGCATTTGTCCTCATGACTATATGATATTAACAAAAAAGTAAACAAATAGTCATAAAGACAAAAATGTCTATCTATTACAATCCAATAGGCTGATTTCAATGTTTCAGCTATCATTATACTTGTAATTTCCTCCTTTACAACATTTGTTATGTATACAAGAGAGGTAGGTTTTCTTAGTACAAAATCGATTTATCTTTAGAGAAACACCAGATTCAAAAAAAGGCAAAATTTTATATAGAACTATATTTCTCATGGTTTAATATATTTTTTCACTAGTTGCCAGACAGATTATGAATTTTTTATTTAACATATTTATAATTTTGTACATATATAAATTTATAAAATATAAATTGTATACTTTCTGAAAATTGTTATACAAAATGATAAAAATTAGGGCATATCTAATTATAATATGTTGTTTATAATAGAAATATCAATAATGATTAAAAATATTCATATTTGATTGATAACACACTAAGTTACAATTAAATATACCCTAATTTTTTATTATTTTGTATAACCATTTTTGGAAAACAATCAATCTCACTATGTGTCGAGAATTGATTAGTCGCACGTATTATCAGTGTCAGGCATTAGTAGCCAGGCCAGATCGTAATATATAGTTAGTGTAATAGTATGCGGTCATATGTGGTAATTAATGACATATTATCGAACAATGTAAAGTCAATAATGTGAAAGTTAACAATGTAATGTTGATTATGTAATCATGCATAACAAAGAAAGTAAATAAATATAAGGTTTGATCTTAACGATCGAATTCATCTTTGATTTTAATAAACTAAACCTGTAATAAAGTAATAGTGTTGCAGTACCAGTACAGTTGTGTGACGTGGTTGAAGAGACTATTAAGGTGAAAACAGGTGCAAGTAAAGGAAATTGAAGTGACAAACGAAGCGAGTGTGAACTATTAACATAAATCTCTGAGTAACAACGTTGAGTGCAATGAATATTAATTAACCCTGTGTCAGAAGGACTTGGGCAAGACCGTCATCTCTCGCAACAACGTGCAGTACAAGTTAGAAAAACTGCCAAACTAAGTTGTGAAAGCTACAAGAACTGTGAATCAAGTGGTTTGAAATTACGAACATTACAACTAAGCAACAGACTTATAACAAATAAACCGGGACGTCTTGTATAAGCGACAAAAATAAAGAATGAAGCTGCAAGACAAAAGGCTAAAGATCAAACATAGTTTAAGCTAACGATAAAATAAACATTGGAGATCAAATTGAAAAGATAACCAACTGGGCAAACAAATAATATAAATAACGGGTGGGAACATAAACATAATCAAACCTATAGGGTGCGATTTCAAAGTTATAACGTAAGGACATTATATACAAGAGACAAATCATGGGAAGCTTTGATACAACAATACCTGTGTATAAAGATGCGGAAGTGGATGACATAGAAAACTTCCTTTTTAACTATGAAGGCTATGCAAAGGCGAAGAAATATGATGAAGAAACAACTTGTTTCAGAGTATACATGCATATGCCGGAAAGCATGAGAATGTGGGTAAGAAAGCTAGTACAAACAGAAAAAACATGGGCTTCATTAAAGTCAAAGATCTCTGAAAAGATCAAAGCTGAAAACAAACCAGAAATAATGATCCTCCGGTTGAAACGTTTGAAGCAAGAAGAAAAAAAATCAGTAAGAGAGTACACTAATAGATACGAGGCCCAATCTGAATCTGTGATTACGAAACTGAGGTCTGATGAAAAACATGACTAGTATATCCAAGGCCTTAGGGAACCCTTTCATTCTAAGGTAGAAAGTCACTGTCCTAAAAATTATGAAAAGGCAAAAAAGAAAGCTCTTGGGATGGACGAGTATAAAAGAGAAAAGAACCAAATTCTTGGAGGAGATAAGTCCGAAGAACCAGTGACTTCTAGCAAAACAGACGCTGATATCAACAGTCTTGTAAATGAACTTGAAGCATTGAAAATCAACCGCGTTGAGTGAGAAAAAGATCAATCGAGCCGAAGCAATGTAGAAAATCTTATACAAAATATAGTTACTAAAATAATCAAAGACATGAATAGAAGAACAGGGCCATCACATAACTCTAAACCTCGAACATGTTATCTATATAATAAGGAAGGACATATGATGAGAGATTGTCCTGATCGAAATAAAAGTAATGATCAAAGTGGCAAAAGTATGAAGTTCAATAACGCAGATGTGCGTATGGTAGAGTTTACAGAAATTAATCCTGAATCGGCTAATGAATATTTAAAGGTGGAATTACTCAATGACAATGAACAATATGATATAAGGCCCGTAAGTAAAAGGTAAAGGGGTAACGAAACAGCCGAAATGTCAGATCAATTGAATAAAAAAGGAAAAATCAGTGAATTAACAACTGAAAAAGAGAACTGATAATGTTATGTACATACCGTTCACAGAAATGTCTGATGAACTTGACATTCTAAAGAAATTGCTGGTATAGAGATAACCGTTAATTTGGGACAACTTTTCAAATGGTCTCAAAAAGCACGTATAGAAATTATGAAAACATTGTCTTGATGTAGAAAAAGTTATGAAATTAATGATATTGATGTAAAGGTCAGAATTGTACGTAGTGTACTGCAAACGGCCAAATCAAATATAGGAGAAGTCGTACCTGTGTAGACCACTAAAATAAATGGTGACAATGTAAAGGCCCCAATTGATCCAGGGTCCCGAATCAACTTAATGTTAAAGAAATATGCCAAAAAAAGAGGCTTGACTTGGAACCACGTTGGTGGTAAAGGAAGAATGGCTGATAACAGAATCAGTCAATTTGTCGGTTATATACCAAACGTTGAAGTAGAAATAGAAGGTGTAATAGTGAATCAAGGGTTCTATATAATGGAAACGGCAAGCTTCAATGTATTACTCGGCATGCCTTGGATCGCAAAAAGCCAATGTAATCTTGGGTAGAAGGGTAATGAGTACTGGTGTACTATTTCCTCCTCAACTAGATCAGCATCTTTCGTAGCATCTACGGTGCTAAAAAATTGGATTGCAGATGCACAGGATTACGAAAGGTATGAAGATAGCGACTACAAAAGTGATTATGAAGAAATCGATGATGTAATGGCGGTAAGAAGAATTGAAGTCGATGAATTGGATGTCAGTGTTAATAAAAAAACATTTTAGCAAATGCCAAAAATATTAATAATGTAATAATAAGAAAAGTTGAAACGATCGATTGTGAGAGCTTACAAGGATTACCTTATTACGGTAGATTGAAATATTGGAATGTTAAAGACAAAAATGAAGATGGGTCAATTGACGGAAATGATGTCTTGCTAGTGTCACAACTGACAAAAGAAAATAGCATTCTGATTAATTTGGGCCAGAAGGTTCAAGACTAACTAGTAAAGAGTATGGTGATCAATCGACTAATGACAAAAGTATCTGATGTCTTTGCCTTCGAATTAAAAGATATTGGAAAACTAATCTAGTTGAATATGAGGTTAGAACCGGAGATGCTATAATACCGTCAACAAGATTAAGGCCAATACGAATTAATAACCCGGAAACAAGAATGATGTTTGAAGAACATCTAAAAGAAATAGTTAAATATGGGTTATTGGAAAAAGGATCCGGTGAATTTGCCTATCACTGTTTTCCTGTGCAAAAGAAAGAGGGAGGAACTGATAAGCTCCGAGCTGTTAGCAATATGAAACCCCTCAATAAGTATATAATAAAAGATAGTTACTCACTACCAATTATACGTGACATACTTGAACAAGCTGCAGGGCACGACTGGTATTCGTCCGTTGACGCGTTTAAAGGATATTGGCAAATAAGTATCCGTGAAAAAGACTGTGACAAAGTAGCTATGGCTACGTGTTGTGGTCGACATAGGTGCCCGGGTATTCGTAGCGCAAGAGTAAGGGCAAGAGATCATGATCGGGTCATGATAGAGTGTCCAGACTCATGCGATTACATTTTAGGCACATAAAATGTACAACAAAATTACCTTTCTTGATGTAG